ATTTCTTTTGTTTTTGTAGGTTTTGTTTTTGCTGAGACTTTATGTTTTTCCTCTTTATTTTGATGAGTAGGTTTGTTAACTTTCTTTGTGGTTACCCTGAAATTTACCCTTATCTTTCTAAGTTTGAAGCAGTCTATTATTACTTGGTATCGCCTTGCCTTCCTCTCCATAAGAAGGTTCTATACCTACACTATTTATTCCCTCTTTTAATAGTTCTGATGTTGTTGTCATTTACAGGTTAATTGCTCTGATTCCCTGTTGTATTTGTTTTGGTTTTGGATAGTCCTTGAGAGTTCTTTTCCTAGATTAGTATGTGGCTGGTGCGATCCTGCATCCTAGATTCAGCCTGTGAGCTGATGTTGTTTGCTCTCAGATCAAAGGACTCCCTTTAATAATTCTGTAAGTTTGGTTTGGTTTTTACATAGTCCCTTAATTTTTGTTTATCTGGAAATGACCTAATTTCACCATCATATTTGAATGAGAGTTTTACAGGATATATTATTTTTGGCTGGCAATCTTTTTCTTTCAAGGTGTTATATATGTCATCCCATTGCCTTCTTGCCTGCATTCCTTCTGCCGAATAATCTGAGCTTAGTCTTATTGTTTCTCCTCTGTATGTGACTTTTTTTTCCAAGCTGCCCTCAGGATTCTTTGTTTGTCTTTGGTTTTGGCAAATGTGATTATGATATGCCTTGGTGATTTTCTTTTGGGGTCTATCCTATATGGCGTTTGTTGAGCTTCCTGAATGGCCAGCTTTTCATCTTTCCTGATATTGGGGAAGTTTTCTGTCAGGAGTTCTTCAATGATCCTGTGTTTTCTGTTTTCTCCTGGTTCTGGAATGCTGATCACTCACAAATTTTTGCTTTTGATTGTATCCCACATAATTCTTAGGGTCTCTTCATTTTTCCTCGTTCTTTTTTTCTGATTTTTCCTCAGAGTTGTATCCAAGTATTTGTCTTCAGTTTTGCTGATCCTGTCTTCCACCGTTTCAGACCTGCTCCTCAGCCCTTCTATGACACTGTCCATTTCTAAAATCTTGTTGTGTATGTTTTGGATTTCTAATTGTTGTTTTTGTATGATTTCTAGTTGTAAATTCATTTTGGCATTTTGTTCCTGTATTATTTTCCTGAATTATTCCATTTTTTTTGTCTGTGTTGTCCATGAATTTGTCTGCCTTTTCTGTGAATTTGTCTATTTTTTCCTCATTTTTGTCTGCTTTTTGATTCAACTCTTGGATAGCTCTGAATATTACAGATTTGAATTCCCTATCAGGTTGTTCTAGTGCCTTTTCTTCTACTGGAAAGTCATCTGGTGTTTTATTTTGGATGCCTACTGGCACCATCCTGTCCTGTTTTTGTAAATGTTTTGGTATTATCTGCTGTCTTTGGGGCATTCGGTAGTTATTTTCCTCATTTATTTATTGTAGATTTGTTTTGTCCTGCTTTTTTGTTTTATTTGGCTATGTCTGAGCAGGCGGGCTGTGTGTTCTTTGTTGTTTGCTTGTCTTTGGGCATGATACTTTTCACCTCCTTCTCCAATTGGGCAGGGTCAGTCGCTCAGATACGGTACAGCAGGGCAGGTCTCGCTGAAGAGGAGTTGCTGGGATGGGTTGTTTGTGGCACTTACTATGGCCACCAGGGCGAGCTGGTAATCAGTGCAGGGTAGGTTCCGGTAGGCCATGCCCGGGCTGCTTGGTGGTGTGATGTTCAGCGCATGGTGCAGGTAGGCAGGATGGAGGGGGGAGACTTTGGTGTGTGGAACAAAGATGGGTATGGGAGAGAGGAGAGAGGTATAGGACCCAAGAACATACAAACAAAAAAGAGTGCTAGGGGAACTTGCCGTTGGAGTGGAGAGATGAGACACTATGAAATAGAGAAAAACAAACAGAAGAAGAAGAAAAAAAATGAATAAAAATTAGAAAGAAAGAGGAAAAGCAAAGCTCCCAGGGATCCCTCTGGTGCAGCTGTGAGGTCTGGGGAAGTTGCTTCCAGGCTGTGAAGTACAGCCTTGCTAGGAGGGGTAGAGGTGTCACTCCGCACCAGGTATTCAGGGGACAGGAAGAGAAGGAAAGTATAGAGAGACGAGAAACTGAGTAATGAAGAAAGACAAAAAGGGAAAAAGAGGGAAAAGAAAACAAAACAAATAATAATAAAATAGAACAAGAAACCCCCCCAAAGAAAAACAGAAAAAAAAAGCCCCAAAAAAACAAGAAAAGAGAAATGCGCTCAGGGATCCCTGTGCGCATCTGTGCAAACTGAGCAAGTAGGTCCCAAGCTGCACAATACTGCCTGGCTAGAATGGGCTCCCAATTTGAGAAAAGAAAAAGAAAACAAACAAACAATTCAAAACAAACAAAAAGCCCTGGGATCCCACCAGTGTGGCAGCACGGGCTGGGAAGCAGTTTCACATTCAAGCGGCGTTTCACAGACTTTCAGGAAGAAGCAAAGATTGTGCGCAGAGCCAGGTATTTGAGAGAAAGGAGGGGGGAGGTGGTGAGAAGTAGGGAAGAAATCTAAAGAAGTGGAAAAAAGCAACAGCAGCAGCCAACAAATGGCACTTAGGGAGCTGGCCAGTGTGGGCAGGTGGAACCCAAGCGACATCGGGGTGAAGGTGGGGCTTCCCAGCCAAGACACTGGTTGCAGGAAGCAGAGGAGGCCGAGTGGGGGTGAAGAAGGGTGGGGGGTGGGAAAGTGTAATATCGCTGGTTACTGGTTGTTCTGTCTCCTGCTGGAAGCTCTGTGAAGCTGCTTTCTTGTACCCCCGTTCACTGATCTCTGATAAGAGTCCAAGATGGTGGATCCATGCTGCGTTAGCTGATAGGAGACCTCTGCATGCATCTCTCCTTGCTCTCTGTTCTCTCAGTTTTTTATTCCATTCAGTGCTTGGCTGACTTCTTTCTCTCTTCATTTGATGCTTAGGGTTTCAGGATTGCCGTTTTCTCTGTTTGGCTTAGTTTTTCGGATCTTTGCTGTGGAGGGAAGGCATGGTGCTTCTGCCTATAGCGCTATGTTGCCTGGAAATCCCATTTTCTCCTTTTTGATCTGGATTCTTCTATAGAATCTTTGATCAAAATGTTCAGTAATGGTAGCTAGGCACTATCTAGTTCTGGTCTCATGGCAAAGGAGGCAGTTGTTCATGGAGGCAATTAGTCACACATTCTATATCCTCCTCCTATTCCTGACTTTCCTTCTTCCTCTGTTGCTCCAGGTGAATAGAGACCAACTGTTGTTCCTTGGATGGCCACTTTCAAGCTTTTAAGACCCCAGGCACTACGCAACAAACTAGGAGGTAGAACAGAAGCACCTAATACATTAGGCAAATTAATTGGAATGTCCCCTGAAACCATGACCCTAAACTTCCAAACCAAGGAACCAAATTCCATAAGGTGTTTGGTTGTACGTAAGGAGCCTCAGCAGCTTTTTTTTTTTTTGGTTGTTGTAAGTATATGTATCACCCAACTTTTGCCAGTTCAACTTTTTACAGGGGTACAACTTATTGACAGCAATTATAATAATCAGCTGTGAGACCCCACCCTAGTGCAATTTTTCTATCACCATAAACCAAAACGGCTCAATCTATCTTAACCTGGAATACTCCATAAATGTTTTTCAAAACTGAGCTTTGGATGAGCATTGAATGACAGAGAATTAATGTCTCTGACAAGAAATGTAGTGTAGGTATTCTCTGTCATCAAATAGACTAGACCCATTAGCCTTATCAATCAGCAGAATTAGGAATAGGGCTGACATCCTCTTAGGAAAGTTGAGGAGAATGACCAGGATGTCTGAAGAGAAGGCTGGGCCACCTCTGCATGGAGGTGGGCAGAGTGAATACCCATAAATCTGAATATAATTCTTCATCCCTGCAACCCAGGGAAAAATGTGCAGTTAAAACCCCAAACTCCTCCTACACTGCAGAGCTGCCATCTTCTAGTCTGTTCTTTGGAATTCTAGTCCAATAATATGCTGTATGATAAAAGGGTCAAATTAGTTTGAGAAATGTGTATATCTTTGTCACCTTGGACATTTCCAATGTACATTACATATTAAAGGCTATGAAGAATCCTGTGATCAAGTCACATAATTGGCTTTGTTGCCCCCCGTTTTCCCCACTGTTATTTTACTATGTAACTTTTTACCTCCCATAACACATAAATTTCTCGGAACTAGTGCGGCACAGAATGCAGTTTGGGAAAAATTCCATAACTTTAGCCAAGAATAGTTTTAAAGAGGATGTAATCAAACAACATGTTGGTCATAAAACAAGAAAAAGAAATCTCAATAAGACACTCATAGAATTCTTCATGAACTTTCCATAATAAACTATGTGTGAAATGTACCTCCCAGCTCAGTAAAATGAGTTGATTTGCATCTGGTGGTTAGCTAAACTCTTGGTGGACACCTTTCAAAAATAATGATTTAGGCTTTAGAATAACTGATATTAAACTATTCTTTCCTGCAACAATTAGAACTCACCAGTTACTAATTAAAGCCATTGCTAGATCTTCACAATAAAATAATTTTATATTCATTAAAGAAATGGTTGTTTCTCTTCTCTATCAGGTTAAAGGGAAGGAAACATACCCAACTTATTTCAGTTGTAATGTGTGCATACAGAGCATTCTGGGTTTCTTCTTTTCCACTTACTATTATTTTGTCTACCCATTTACATAAATGGACATGGTCCACATATTTATTTTATAATATAGTTTGTACAGTTGCCCATCCTTCAGTTAACTGGGCACTTGAGTTTTGTCTTTTCCACCTAAGTTATTTCGTATAATCATTTACATAAAGGGATAGTGTTCACATATTTATTTTATTAAAGTACTGTAGTTTGTATAGGCATCTGACAATTATTGGGTATTTGAGTTTTCTCAAATTTTCATTCTTGTAAAATGATGTAGGCTTTGTTGTACACATTGCTTTTCATGATTTTGGAAAATGTTCGTGGATACAATTTGAAAATGAGATTAAAGACTATAAATTTTCTAGTTCTAATATTTTATTGCCAAATTGTTAAACTTTTCAAGAAGTCAGAACATCACCTTTTCTGGGTTCCTCTGACCAGATCCTAACTTAAATTCCTGAAAACATAAACTTCATTAACCAGGGCATTATGGCTTATCTTGAAAACAGAATCCAGCAAGAAGAAGGAAATTCTGTTATATTGTTTTCTTTTCTTGCAAGAGGATGGATTTTGAAGGAATGCATGAAAATCTCAATTGTAGAAATAATAGGAATTATGGCCATAGAATTGGTGTTTCATCCCTGAATGCTCCTTATCCCTGAGGTCTTTATGGTCATCTAGAATTGATTTATGGAAATGTTTTCGTACACCGGATTTTGAAAAAGAGTTCTTAAGGTCCAGCAGATTGGTCTGAGGCTTGGCCACTCCAACTCTAGGAATCCAACCCAGAATAGGTCTTGTTTCTTCGCTGTTTTCCATGTTCAAAGCCAACTGATGTTCTTCTGGCTTACCGAAAACCTGTTCTAAGGTGAAGGCTGCTGTGCCTTGTTTATTCTGTAAAATACCAGGCTTACTAAGGCTAGTAGGATCTTGACACATAGTATACTGGTCAGATTTAAAATGTTCATAGTGAATGTAATTGTTTGCTTTAGCGTAAGGTATAGGTTGGGGTTTTAATGCCAGCTGTCTCCAGTACAAATCTTCTGTCTTTTTAGTATCTGTGACTTTTGGAAATGGTTTTATGTCATATATGTCAGTCAGCTCTTTTGTTGGGTAACAAGATGGAAGTGCATAAGTAGATAGCAAGCTTTGTTCTTCCTTAATCTTCTCTTCAGCGTCCTGGTTTTTATGGGTCATGCTGGCCCGTGTGTTACCACTAAGTGCCCTCATTTCTTCAGAACTGGGTATAAAGCTGTGAAAAGTACACAAAACTGTAGGGGTACAATCTGGACAGGAAGGTGGTTTTTCTTGGACAGTAGCCTCCAGAGGACGTTGGTCATGAATTAGTCTGGCAATTCGTCCTTCCAAGGGTCTGACGGGTTTTAAGACAGGATGGAATTTTTCTTGCTGTGGTGGTGGGATAAGAAGAAGAAAATCAATTAATAAATCTGGCATTTTGAGGATGTTGCTACAAATGACAGATCAAAAGTCATACCCATTTTCACTGAGTAAACAAGGGATGGTGTAGGAGAGCACATTGTGATGTTCTTTGATAGTTATTTAAAGACTATTGAAATTTCGGTGGTAATAAACATATGTTTATCTCCTCTACTGGTTTTTGCTCAGATGGAAAAAGCACATTTCTTATTTATCTATAGAGAAGCTCGTTTATGTAGGAACTCATTGCTTTCAAACTCCCAAAGACATAATCACTGGAACAAAACTTCTACCCATCACCAACTCATGATGTTAAAAGTAATGTGCAGTTATTTAAATCTCAGCCAAAGCCGCCTTTATTAGGCCAAGGCAGAGGGTTCTTTAACCTTGGTTGAATCAGAATCACCTTTGAAGTTGGCAGAAAATGAGATTCCTAGGCCTGACTCTCTGAGATTATGATTCAGAAGGCTTGCAGTGGTGCTCAGAAATCTGCATTTTTAAGAAGTACCTCGGGTGGTGCTGAGGCAGGTGATGTGCTCATTATGTTTTGAGAAACATTGGTCTGAGGGCAGTTTGTCCTGTCTGTGCTTCTTTTTGAGGCGTTTTATAAATATTATTAATCATGTCTGGTGACCGCAAAAAGCAGTGAGTGTATTCAAAGTGCTATTAACAGACATATGTCTGGCACGGGGAGGAGAGAAGGAGATGACTGGGGAGGGGCACAAGGGAACGTGCTGGGATGATGGTTCTTTATCTTGATAGGGGTTTAGGTTACAAAGGTGTATGCGTTTGTCAAAACTATGTGAATGTACACTTCAGATATGTACAATTTCATTGAATGGAAATTTTACCTTCAAAGAAAAAAACCACAAACAAATCTTGAACTCTGATTAATGATATGCATGCTGAAATGTTTAGGGGTGAAGTATACTAATATCTGCAATTTACTCTGAAATGCATAAAAAAATAGAGTGGATTGATGGATGGATAGAACAACAGAAAGATGGATGGATCATGTGATGAAACAAATATAACAAAAACCCACTGCCGTTGAGTCGATTCTGACTCGTAGCGACCCTGTAGGAGAGTAGAACTGCCCCACAGGGTTTCCAAAGCTGTAATCTTTGTGGAAGCAGACTGCCACATCTTTCTCCCACGGAGTGGCTGGTGGGTCCGAACCACTGACCTTTCAGTTAGCAGCCGAATGCTTAATTACTGCACCACCAGGGATCCTTAAACCAGAGTAAAATGGTAGAATCTAAGTGGTGAGTAAATGGGTGTAAACTGTAAAATTATTTCCACTTTTGTATATGTTTGAAATTTTTATAATAATGTTAATAAAAATAATAATTAAAAAACCTAAAAAGGAATGAATGTATGATGATGATGGAATTGACAGCAGAGATAACAGAAATGAAAGTGATGAGAAAATAATAACCAGAGCTTGGACGTACAAAAAAAATGGATTTAGGAACACTGTTTTAGAGACTAATCTGTTTGTAGTTAGATGAGTTTCCATACTGAATTATTAAGGAATTTGCTCTAACCTTTGGCTAATCAGGTTTGGGTAGATACTATGAAGGAAAAATAAAACCACCTAGCTCTTTGAAATGCTTGGTTAAGTTTATCGTAAAAAAGGATAGGGCTTAGCATATATCCTACTTTGATGATATCTCTTTGTGCAAGAAGCAGTTTTTAGGAACTTCATTTTATTTTACTACAAAAGAAATTTTCATTAGCTTCCCAGAGTCCATTATTTATGTTTCAGTCAGAGACCCACAAGATTTACTGAAACTTTCTTTTGAATATCAAACTCTTTTAGGTGTATTTTATCTTGTTATTTGTCAATATTTAAGTGTTGATTTACTTACACAATAATGTTGCATATACTTGGGAAGCATACTTTTTATAACTCTACATGTATTTCTTTGTAAAAAAAATAATAAAGCTACTTCCTGAGTAGCTAGACCCTACAGGGTCAAATCTGGAAATCTGGACAGTTTACTGAATACACCTGACAATGTCAGAGTATACATATAATATTTTATAGCCTTAGAAAGTTCTTGTTGCAAGTGAAAGATAAAGAAAATTAAAAACTCTTCAGTGAATGATAAAGCACGGTCTATGGAACTACTTCTGGTTCTATGATTTTATATCACCTTAGGAAATACTGATGCTAATGTAAAATGAATGTGTTCAGCTCAATTTAGAAAAAAACCTGATACTGAAGTAATCTTAGCTGTTTTTTATGTGTCTTTGCACAATTTACATCTTTGAAAATATTAATTTTGTTTTGATAATTTTGTAGTTTTAGAGGATAAAGTTTAGGCCCCAAATAAAACAACATATACGCGTACTATAGGTAATTTCATTTCATTTACATAATTAAGCAACCAGATTATCACTTCTTCCACTAAAGGGCTTGATAATTTTGTTCAGGCCATTTCAGATAATCAGTTAAGAAATACCTATTGCTATTTGCAGAGAATTTATTGGCTTTTCATTGTAATTCAGCCAACTCTCAATTATTGTGGAGATCAGGAGGAAGCCTTTATCTCTTCAAAAGCAATGGTAATGTACAAGACATACAAATATGCAAAGATTCACAGACTATATTAAGAATCTCATTAAATTAATAATTAAGCTCTATTTTTGTAAAACAATTCCTTTGTAAGTTATTTAAGCAACAGTAGCATAGTAGAAAATCTGTAAAAGCAGCACTGTGAGGAGGAAAAGACACCTTTCTTGTTCTTCCAAATAGTGGGCAAGGGTATTCAAACCAGTTCACATCAGTTCAGGATTAACTTTTAAAATGAGTAAAAATTTCCCTATTATATCATGAATCAAATAAAAAGTGGGCAAAGCAAAAAGGAGCCCAGCACCTGGATACTTGCCCCCTATAAATAACTGAGAGTTGACTGCAATTACTTACAGGCTCTGGGTCAAATTCTATCTGTCCAGTTAAGTCGGCTACCTCCTTTTCATGGTAATCATCCAGTTCAAGGGGATTCATGGACCCTAGACCTTAATGGAAACATTATGTCTTATTATTCTGTTAGAGGAAATGAAGAATGGCATTTAAATTACCTTTTATAGGAAAACATACCCATACCCTTTGTAGTATAATGAGAACCAATGAAGTGAAAACCTACCCTACCCCCAGCTACCCACTAAGAGAAGCTTACTATCCACCTTAATTCTTATTAGTGCATAGACTGAGAAACAGGAAACAATATCAGAGGATGAAAGCTTGTAAAATTATTTGTTAAATATTCCTGTTTTGTTCTTTTTACTTATTTTAAAGTGAAGTCATACCTGTAAAATCATGAGTGTACGAAGTGATCCAGTGGGACCTCTCAAGATTTCTTTGTATGTTGGCTTCTTTTAGAGAGTTAATAGGATCCCACGAATTTAAAGAAGTGTTAGGAGCGAAGGTTTTAGGAGGTTTTGGGTAGAACACTGGCTTATTTTTCTCAACACATTTAGGAAACTAGAATATGAACATAAAGATTATTGCTATTAATGTCATCTAGTAGAATAAAGGTCTATCTGTTACGTTATCTCAGCAGGAAAGGGGGCAAAGGAATTCTAGGGTGAAGTCAGATACTGTTTCTTCATTAATTACTAACATTCTGCCAACTGTAGCCATATTTAGAGTTAAATGCAATATTTTAATCAATGAAACAATAAGGTTCTTTCTATAAGTCTTTTGCCTTACCAGAGACTCTGATAATGTACATTCAAGAAATGTCCCTGGAAACATATTACCTTCTGTGATGTTTTATTAGCGATTCAGAGGACTCCTAGGTACTCTTTGGGGTAAGTTTAGCCAAAATTTTGTGCCTCCTACTTCTCCTTCCCTGCCTGAAATGACACTACTTGAGTCATGAGGTGTTCCCATCAAGCTCAGTATCTATTTTATTTTTAGTTTTTCATCCAGGAAAGTCGAAAACTTGATTAAGGTCAGGGATGAGCTCTAAGAATGACTGAAGGTTGGAAATTAAGACCAAATTAGAATATTAAGAAAGTGAGATTAATCATTAGAGAGAAGAAGAATACATCAGTCAAAAATATGTATATACAAAAGCACTGTAGGGGATATACACATTATAAAATATTCTGGTCTCAAAGAGCTTGTAATTTAGTTGAGGAGATACAGAATACCTGTGGAAATTATTGGTTATAGTCGGTAAGTGTTGTAGAAAGTCAGAAGAGGGAAAAATCACTTCTGCTGGTGTAATAATGCCTTATAAATTATACCATTTTCTAGTTTTCAGGGTGCTTTTATATCTCAGTTAATCTTCATAACCTGTGAAGTTCGTAGACAGATTTTACTGAAATTATAAAGATAAATTTTTATGATTGAAGCTCAGAGAAGAAAGCAGTATGCCTAATATCACTTAGAGTAAATGGCAGATAGGGGACAAACTAGAATTTAGGGCTCCTGACTTGATTCTCTTACTACTATACACAGAAACAATGAGAGTTGAGCTGAGCCTTCAAAAAATTAGTAAGCTTTAGATGAGCAGAGAGGCCCTGAGGGGAGGGCATTCCAGGACTGGGAAATAGAAGAAGAGTTGAAAAAGGGTGGACCTGTGTTCAAGGACCCGTGAGTAGAGCCAGGCTCCGGGAGAGGACGGCCAGATGGTGAAGGGTCCTTGTAGCTCAGTTAGAGCATCTGGGTTTACATTTAGGTAAAGGGGAACTTTCAAGATTGTTGAGAAGGGTGTGGAATGAAGAAAGCAGAATTTTAATGAGTAGGTAGAAATGAGAGAAATTGAAAGAAGAAACTAAACTACAGAGCTGGAGATTTTGGCTATAAGAACATGTTTAACGATGGAGTGGTCTCTAGAATAACTTCGTATACAGTGAAACCTGTGAAAGCCTTGTTTTTCCGGGTCTTACAAGTTTTCTGCCCTTGATAGGTACAGTCTTATCACTTTTCTATAGTTCTCTATTAGTGGAAAATACTTGAATGTTCCTTCTCTGACAGGTTTCTGCCTTAACACAGGTTCTGGCTTTCACAGGTTTTATGGTATTTCTGGGTTGCCTAGATATAGATTTTGCTTGAAGGAATGAAAGATCCAGTGAAGCAGATGATTCTTTAAGGATTAAAAAAAAAAAAATTGTGTTTTGTTGAGAATATACACAGCAAACCATATACCAATTCAACAGTTTCCACATATACAATATAGTGACATTGATTATATTCTTTGAGTTGTACAACCATTCTCATCCTCTTTTTCTGAGTTGTTCCTCATTAACATAAACTGACTGCCCCCTAGTGTTCCCATCTAATCTTTTGAGTTGCTGTTGTCAATTTGATTCCATATAGATAGTTCTTAGAAGAACATAATGCTCAAGGAAGACCTTTTTTACTAGTTAAGCTAAACTATTGTTCAGTTTTAAGATGACTTCAGGGAATATTTTTGGTTTAAGGTTTAAAGATTATCTCAGGGCAATAGTTTCAGGGGTTCATCCAGCCTCCATGGTTCTGGAAAGTACGGATTCCATGGGAATTTTAAATTTTGTTCTGTATTTTCTCCCTTTTGATCAGGATTCTTCTATGGAATCTTCAATTAAAAATGTTCAGTAATGGTAGCCAGGCACCATCCAGTTCTTCCGTTCTCATGGCAAAGGAGGCAGTTGTTCATGGAGGCAATTAGTCACACATTCCATATGCTCCTGCTATTCCTGACTCTCCTTCTTCCTCTGTTGCTCCAGGTGAATAGAGATCAGTTGTGCCTTGGATGGTTGCTTGTAAGCTTTTAAGATCCCAGGCACTACACAATGAACTAAGAGGTAGAACAGTAGCACCTAGCACATTACCTGGGATGTCCCATGAAACCATGATCCTGAACCTCCAAACGAAGGAACAAAATTCTATAAGGTGTTTGATTGTACATAAGCGGCCTCAGCAGCTACTCTTTTTTGTTGTTGTAAATATATCTATCACACAACTTTTGCCAATTCAACTTTTACAGGTGTACAATTTATTGACAGCAATTACAATAATCGGCTATGCAACCCTACCCGTAATGCAATTTTTCCATCACCGTTAACCCTCCTTTTCCCTCACCCTCCCGCCCCTGGTAACCACTAATAAACTTTGGTCTCTACACATTTGCCTTTTCTTGTCTTTTTATATAAGTGAGGTCATAACAATATTTGTCCTTTTGTGATTGGCTTATTTTGCTCAGCATAATAATGTCTTCAAGCTCCACTCATACTGTAGCATGTACCAAGACTTCATTTCTCCAACTGGCTGAGTAGTATTTCATTGTATGCATGTACCACATTTTGTTTATCTATTCATCTGTTGATGGGCATTTAGGTTGTTTCCACCTTTTGGCTGTTGTGGATAGTTCTTCAATGAACACTGGTGTACAAGTCTTTTTTTTTTTTTGGTATTCATTCACCTTTTATTTATTCAGTCATTCATACAATGATATTTTTCTTTTTTTTTTATTGTAGTTTAAGTGAAAGTTTACATTTCAAGTTAGTCTCTTATACAAAAATTTATACATACATTGTTGTGTGATCCTAATTGCTCTCCCCATACTGTGACAGCACACTCCTCCTTTCCACCCATGATTTCCCATGTCCACTCAACCAGCTCCTAACCCTCTCTGCCTTCTCATCTCACCTCCAGACAGAAGCTGCCCATTTGGTCTCACGCATTTACTTGAGCTAAGAAGCACCCGCTTCATGAGTATCATTTTACGTCCCACAGTCCAGGCCAATCTTTGTCTAAAGAGTTGGCCTCAGAAATTGATTTAGTTCTGGGCTGACAGAGTCCAGGGGCCATGCTTTCCGGGGTTCCTCCAGTCTCATTCAACCATTAAGTCTGGTCTTTTCACTAGAATTTGAGTTCTGCATCCCACCTTTTTCCTGCTCCATCAGGGACTCTCTTTTGTGTTCCCTGACAGGGAGGTCGTTGGTGGTAGCCGGACACCATCTAGTTCTTCTGGTGTCAGGCTGATGAAGTCTCTGGTTTATGTGGCCCTTTCTGTCTCGGGCTAATCTTTCCTTGTGTCTTTGGTGTTCTCTTCATTCTCCTTTACTCCAGGTGGTTGGGACCAATTGTTGCATCTTAGATGGCCGCTTGCAAGCTTTTAAGACCCCAGACGCCACTCACCAAAGTAGAATGCAGAACATTTTCTTGATAAACTTTGTTATGCCAATTGACCCAGATGTCCCCTGAAAGCATGGTCCCCAGACCCCTGCCCCTGCTACTCTGCCCCTCGAAGTGTTTGATTGTATTCAGGAAACTTCTTAGTTAGCTTGGGTTTCGTCCAGTTGTGCTGACTTCCCCTGTATTGTGTGCTGTCCTTCCCTTCACCTAAGATAATTCTTATCTACTATCTAGTTAGTGAATAACCCTCACCCTCCTTCCCCCTCCTCGTAACCATCGAAGAATGTTTTCTTCTGTGTTTAAACCTTTTCTTGAGTTCTTATAATAGTGGTCTTACACAATATTTGTCCTTCTGTGACTGACTAAATTTACTCAGCACAGTGCCCTCCAGATTCCTCCCTGTTATGTTTCACAGCTTCATCGTTGTTCTTTATCGTTGCGTAGTATTCCATTGTGTGAATATACCATAATTTATCCATTCATCCGTTGATGGCACCTAGGTTGTTTCCATCTTTTTGCTATCGTGAACAGTGCTGCAGTGAACATGGGTGTGCATATATCTACTCGTGTGACGGCTCTTATTTCTCTAGGATGTATTCCAAGGAGTGGGATTGCTGGATCGTATGGCACTTCTATTTCTAGCTTTTCAAGGAAGTGCCAAATTGATTTCCAAAGTGGTTGGAAATTTTACATTCCCACCAACAAGCCTCTTTTAAAGTCTCTGCTTTCAAGTCTTCTGAGTATATCCCTAGGAGTGGAATTGCTGAGTCATATGGTAGTTTTCTGAGGAACCACCAGACTGTTTTCCACAACAGCTGTACCATTTTGCATTTCCACCAGCAATGGATAAGTTTTCCAATTTCTCCACATCCTCATCAACATCTGTTATTTTCTGTGGTTTGGTTTTTTTTTTTTTAATCTTAGCTATCCTAGTGGGAGTGAAATGGTATCTCATTGTGGTTTTGATGTGCATCTCTTTGGTGGCTAATGACGTTGAGCATCTTTTCACGTGTTTGGTGGCCAATGGAATGTCCTCTTTGGTGAAATGTCTATTCAAGTAAGTCTTCTGCCCATTTTATGATTGGGTTATTTGTCTTTTTGTTGTTAAGCTGTCAAAGTTTTATATATATTTTGGTTATTAGATTCTTCTCGGATATGTGGTTTCTGAAGATACTATCCCAGTCAGTAGCTCGTTTTTTCACTTTTTTTGGTAAAGTCTTTTGACGAACAAAAGTTTTAAATTTTTATGAGGCCCCATTTATTTATTTTGTCTTTTGCCGTCTGTGCTTTTGTTACTATATTAGATAATCCATTGCTGAAAGCTAGGCCTGACAGCGTTGCCCCTGCTTATTCTTTTAGGAATTTTATGGTTTTAGTTTGCATACTTAGGTCCTTAATACATTTTGAATTTGTTTTTGTGTATGGTGTGAGGCATAGATCCTATTTAATTTTTCTGCAGGTGGAGATTCAATCTTCCCAGCACCATTTATTGAACAGATTTGTCTTTCCCCATTGAATGGACTTAGTACCCCTGTCAAAAATCAGTTGACCACAGATGCATGGGTTTATTTCTTAGCTCTCAATTCTATTCCATTGGTCCATATGTCTATTATTATACCAGAACCAGGCTGTTATGATTACTGTAGTTGAATAGTATGTTTTCAAATCAGGAAGTATGAGTCCCCCTACTTTGTTCTTCTCTTTCAACACTGTTTTAGCTATATGGGGCCTCTTGCCATTCCATATAAAGTTGAGGATCGGTTTTTCTATTTATGTAAAGAAGGCTGTTGGAATTGTGTTGAATCTATAGATCACTTTGGGTAGTACAGACATCTTAACAATATTAACTCTTCCAATCCATGAACACGTAACATCTTTCCATTTATTTAAGTCTTCTTTAATCTGTTTCAGCAGTATTTTATAGTTTTCATTGTATAAGTCCTTCACATCCCTGGTCAAATTTATTCCTAGGTATTGTATTCTCTTAGGTGGTACTATAAATGGAATTGTTTCCCTAATTTCCCTTTTAGATTCCCCTTTGCTGGTGTATAGATACCCAACTGATTTTTATTTGTTGACCTTGTACCCTGCAACTTTGCTAAATTTCTCTATTAGCTCTAGAAGTTTTCTTGTGGACTCTTGGGAATTTTCTATATATAGGCTCATATCATCTGTGAATAGAGATAATTTTACTTTCTTTTCCAATATGGGCACCTTTTGTTTCTTTTTATTGTCTTATTGCTCTGGCTAGGACTTCTAATACAATATTGAATATAAGTGGTGAGAGCGGGCACCCTTGTCTTGTTCCTAATTTCAAGGGGAAAGCTCTCAGTCTTTCTCCATTACCTATAATGTTGGCTGTTGGCTTTTCATGTATGCCCTGAATAATATTGAGGAATTTCCCTTCTATTCCAATCTTCTTTAGGGTTTTCATCAAGAAAGGGTGTTGGATTTTATCAAATGCTTTTTCTGCATCCATAGAGATGATCATGTGGTTCTTTTCCTTTGTTCTATTGATGTGTATTACACTGATTGATTTTCTAATGTTGTACTATCCCTGCATTCCTGGAATAAATCCCACTTGTCATGGTGTATGACTTTTTAAATATGCTGTTGGATTCTGTTCACTTGTATTTTGTTGAGGATTTGCATCTATATTCATAAGAGATATTGGCCTATAGTTTTCTTTTCTTGTGGTGTCTATGTCTGGTTTGGGTATCAGGGTTATATTTGCTTCACTGAATGAATTAGGGAGTATTCCTTCCTTCTCTATATTTTGAAGGAGTTTAAACAGTATTGGTGTCAATTCTTCTCTAAATGTTTGATAGAATTCCCCAGTGAAGCCATCTGGTCCAGTGAGGATTCTTCTTGATGTATAACTTTTTTTTTTTTTTTTAAAGAAACAGGAAATTGCCTACTGTATAGGTAATTATGTGACATTGCAGTGACCACACTCTGGCATGCCACAGTGGTCTTTCTAGGTAAAATTTACATGTTTCCAACCTTCCACAATTATTGTTTGCTTACTATATAGGTTGTTGGATGCAAGGAGATACTAAGAGGGAAATACTTGGCACTGCCTCTCATAAAGTAACTGGTCAATAAATGTTAGTAACTATTTTCCTTCGTGATTTAAAACTTTATCTTTTTATTCACGTGGAGTTGCAGAACAGAGGTTAAGAGTAGAGAGTGGAGTCTCACAAACCTGAGTTCTGTGTTCATGAGGTACTCACCAGCTCTCTGAGCCTCAGTTTACTTATCTATACAATGCGAATGTTGATACATTAACCATATGTGGTTGTTTTAAAGGCTAAATGACACAGTATATCTGAAGTGGTTAGCATGTAGCAATTTCTTAATAAATGGTAGCTATTGTTTTATTTTCTTTTATTTTTCACTTAACACAAATATATTAATAATGGTTGGGACAATCACAACAATGTGCAATAGCTTGTAAATCTTTCTGAAAATCTCCCATTTACTGTATGCATCTTTAGAGTTATTTGATATAGTATGAATCACAAGAATAAGTTTGGGGGAACACATAGGGGAAACACAGTCCTCCTCCATCATCTTTCTGGGGGAACCTTTTTTTTTAGGTAACTGTGGAACTGTTAAATAACTGTCAAAAGTACATGAAATCAGCTAAGAAAATAAAAAAAATAAAAAACCCAAATCACAGTTAAAATCTCAAATTTTTCATCTGGATAGAAAATAAAAAGTCTATATTTTGGGTGTTTATAAAATTATTGGGTAAAAATATTTTTTACTTTGCTTTAAACACACATTTAAAAAGATACTTACATCATAATATACACCCTGACCAGGCCAAGTCAAGGCTTTCTTCTTTGAATCCGAGGGAAAATCAACCAGTTCGTATCTATAAGGATTACCTGAAAATTTCAGGAAAAGTATTATTATGCTGAATAAATAAGAACAGGCTTCTAACCAATGGGATTTATGGATACAATAAATAGAAACAAGTATCAGGTAGAGAGGAATGCTAGTGCATATTATAGATGTATAGTTGTACCTTTTGAGTTGCAACCTGCTTTAGAATTCTTGTCCTCTTAATGAGCAGAGTGTGGGCCACACACAGTCTCTGACCCTTGTGCTCTCAGCAATACTGTTATTGTTTTATTAGGTGTTGTTGAGTCAGTTCTGACTCGTGTACAGAGTAGAACTACTCCATAGGGTTTTCAAGGGTGTGATCTTCGGGAAGTAGATCACCAGGCCTTACTTTCAAGGTGTGTCTGGGTGGGTCTGAACCACCAACCTTTCAGTTAGTATCCAGCACTTAACCATTTGTGCCACCCCAGCATTACTAGGGGGCACTATAACTTCACCTTTCTTGTTAATGAGAGAGATATCCTTACGGAAAATCTTCTGGATCTTCTTGCTGGTCTCTAAAGACTCAGCAAATACATTTCTATACTACCTGTTTTGGCTTTTCCCCACTTTAATATTGAGAGTTTTCCAAATGTAGTTAGTGCTTGTTTACCAAAAAAAACGTAAATTTAGGCAATCTAATTTTAGAACATGCACTCTTAACCTATATGCAACTTATTTCTAATACCCACCCCCCCAAAAAAAACCCACTGCCATCGAGTCGATTCCGACTCATAGTGACCCTATACGACAGAGTAGAACTGCTCCAGAGGGTTTCCAAGGAGTGGCTGGTGGATTTGAACCACTGACCTTTTGGTTAGCGGCTGAACTATTAACTACTGTGCCACCAGGGCTCCTATTTCTAATAAGAAGAGTTAAAATAAGTAGAAGAGTAGGAAACCTAACACAGTACTTGTACTTGGAAAGATCTTTTATAAGGGTTATTAAAATGTACTTGTCTTTTTAAAATCTAAGAGTGACTGACCAGAGAGTGGTAGATCAGTCAAGCAGGTAACTTGTTTCTTCAGTCCATTATCTACACATGCACTGAAAAAAGTGTTTGTTTTTTTAAAAATAAATTTAACACCTATTTCTGTGATTTCTTGCTAACAGTATGTACTTTATATAATTTTGGAAATTCTCTAATTAGATATTGGAAAAAGAAATCTAGTTTGACAGTGAACCTAACAAGCTACAAAAATTTCAGATGTTTAGGAATCATATGTCTTAGTTCTTTGGCATACACCTGCTTCCATAACCACCGCCCCCAATATAACCAGGCATGGCACTCAATACAAAATGGTCAATATATTTGATACAGCTTTCACATCTTTTACTAATGCCAACTGGACCGACAGGTAATGGACTAAACAGAAAAGTTCGGTGGTGTACACATACTGGAATCATGATAGTACAGTAATAAAAATAATAACTGCAAACACTTATCTATGAAGTAGATATAATATTCCTATTTTACAGATTTGGAAGTGAAGGCAGAGAGGCAAAGAAACTTTCCCATGGTCCACAGTGAGTAAGTGGCAGAGCCAAAATTCTACCTGTGCAGTCTAAACTCCAGAGTCTATGCTCTTAACACTCCTCTATACTGTCTCTCAAAATGTTACTGTTTCCTAGTCAGGTACTGAAGTTGATATTGATGATAGTAGTATTTGGTTCTTATATTTTCTGTCCAAGTATTGATGTACAGAGGAACTGCATCATAGGCCATTCTTGGGTCTTACTGCCTCGTAGCCTAAACTCATTCAACAGATACTTATCTCTGCCTAGCATGTACCTTTTCTGTCACCTTCAGTTACCCCCTTCTCTAGTATCCTCAATCTTTCTCCAGAGGTTTCTCCTGTTTTCATACATGTGTAGGCCTCCTTGACAAAAAGCTGAAGTGCCTAGTGTGGGAGAAACGTGATGACTGATGTATGTGATTACCATCCTCTCTAATATAACACATCCCAGGAGACTCAAAGGTTTGCATCTGGGAGAAGAGGGTCAGTTGTCAAGAGGAACTGAATGAACTGCTCCCATTACTTTCTGAGTCTCCTTTTAACAAGAATCTTCCAGCCTAATCTCCACTGTTATCCCCATGTACAGACTCTAATGAGCTGAACTGAACACTGTCCCTTGTGCTGATCACCTGAGCTAGGATGGAATTTTAAAAAGCTAAACGAAATGAGAGAGCAGGAAGGAAATAAAAATATAAAATATAAGTAGAATAAAAATAATCAGTTCCACAAAGTCCTGGTTTCTGATTTTCCCATGGGAGGTTGTGTAGAAAGTAGAAAGGTTAGGAGCCTCTGCAGAGAATCTGATTGAAATTGGCTGTGATGGGGCTGATTCTAAAGTGCAGCCATGGTTGAGAACCACTTTCCTCATCTACTGATGAATCACATGTCTTGACTCATCTACACATGAGTCACATAAGTCACTTGACTGATGAGTTGAATCCTTTGTGCTACTTGCTTTCTTTAATTTTATTCTTGAATAAACTCCAATAATAAAAAAATTAATATTGTTCTGATTCCAAATCACATTTTACCTCTTGTCTTCAAAACTGTTTTATCGTAAGCCTTCGTTGGAACAGTTGGGGGAAATGGCTGTTGGCTGCGTGCTTTGATGCCAGTGTAGAGCTCCTTGGGCGATGTGAAGGTCGGGAACATGGCACAGCGAGAGATATGGGTGTTGTAGGGGTGCTCAACTGGATACGGGCAGCAGATTTCTCTAAGATTTCATTGAGCAAACAAGACAAGGCAAAACAAAACAAATCAAAACAGAATGGAAAAAGTACAGTCAAAAAAATTAATCATCAGCTATGTATTGGGACCCTTCTTTCACCAGGTACCTTTCTAGTCCCTGGGATATGACAGTGAACCAGACAGTCCCTCTGCTCATGGAATTGGCATTCTGGTGGAATGTAAGTGCCATGTATACCATTAAACATGTGAAATTTTCCTAGACAAATAAGAAATAAATTTTACTTTTTAAATAAATCATACTTGAATTCTTTATCAGGGAATAAATAATGCTTTCATAATTGGCATAAAAAATATGAAGCATTAAGAGTGATGGAAAAATTTGGAAACATAGTGGTGACGGTTGAACAAGATGATGAACATAATTCATGTCACTGAACTGTACATGTAAAAATGTTGAAATGACATATGTTTTGTTACATATACATGTGTTGTTGTTAGTTGCTGTCGACTCACTCTCGGCTCATGGTGACCTCATGCAGAAATGAACAGAATGCTGCCTAGTCCTGTGCCATTCCAATGATTGGTTGTGGATGGGACCATTGTGATCCGTGGGGTTTCCACTGGCTAAATTTTCAGAAATACATTGAGAGGCCTTTCTTCCTAGTCCATCTTAGTCTGGAAGCTCTCCTGAAACTTGTTCAGTATCAGAGCAACATGCAAGTCTCCACTGCATAGGTGACGGTTGTGCATAAGGTGCACTGGCCAGGAATTGAACCCAGGTATCCCGCATGGACGGCCAATATTCTGCCACTGAACTGCCACTGCTCCCTATATACACATATATTTACCACAATAAAAAAAAAAAAATCCAACAACAACAAAAAGTACCAAGCAGACAACATCTGAATTTTGTAGTGTTTAGAATGCTACAGGAAGAATTTCTAGTTGCTTTCAACTCCTGCTTCTTGCTTTAAGGGAATTAGAGGATACTCCAATTATTTGTGGAACAGTTTTGGGCATTCAGCTTCAGCAGTACAAAGTTGCACTGAACTTTCAGCTCAGGCTATTTATTTCTTTAAGCAATCAACTAACAAAATAAACAGTCTGTTGATACACATAGTGCTGTTTAGAAATAAAAAAGCCAAAAATAGGACATGGAAGGAAAAAAAGTTAAAAAGACCACAGGGATATAATTTTATTATCATATGGAGACGTGGCAGAAGTTAAAGAAATCCTTGTGGGCGCTGTCTAAACTAAGTGCACAGGATAGAATTGGAAATTAAAGTAGGAAAAAGCAAGACCAGGTTGGCCTCTGACCTCCAAAGAGCACAGGCACGCAGTGACAAGTCTGCATGTGACAGAGGTGTAGGCACTGGGTGTGTTTACAGGAGGAGAGCTAAAGGAGGAGTTTAAAAGATTATAAACTCTTTATAATCATAATCCAGAGAAGCAATGGGAAGGCTGTTTAATGTCAATGTTCACCAGGCCAAAATAAACGTAGAAGTTATATACAGAATTTTCCCTTTCACAAATGACTGTATACGGTGTGACTGTGAAATACCGAGAATAGCTTCTATAAGAAACTTACTTTAAAATATCTCACTGCTTTTCCATCGTACAATATTTTTCAATCCCAAGTATTTTTCATTGGTTTTTGCCATATATTCTCAATGGCATGCAAATCAAAGTATCATGAAGAAACAACTTCATGGACCAACTGCAAAAATGGCAAATTCACTAAGGTATCTTAAGTAGTATCATGAAAGCTTCGCTTTCAAGCCCAGATCCTCTGACTGGCAAATAACAAGTTGCGGTGGCCCAGCCCCAGATCCAGGTGTCTCCTGCCTACTCAGCATGATGTGTACAAATCTGTACTGAATTGAATTCACTTGGCATCTTGGTGAGGTCTCTGAAATACCTAGCCATTCAAGATTCTTAGCAAAGTTCCTGGTCTCTTATGGATACCACAAGAGGTCTGGGCTCTGGACAAAAGTTATCCACGAGGCCAGTTAACTTCTTTTGTTTTTGTGTAAACTGATTCAGTTTTCTTGTCCATGTCATAAACTCTCTCACTTGAAGACAATTTTGAGTTGGTTATAGAATTTTTTTCATTGCTAGTCACTAAATACTTTTTTGATTTATTTACTTTGCTTAAAAAGTGCCTTATCAACTATGACACCGCATGGTGTAAGGTCTGATAGCTGGTACAGTCACAGCTGTGATTTCATGAGAACACAGGATCAGGCGCTCCTGAACTCCAACGGACTTCCCTGGGGTCCAGTGGTGCCCCGGCCAAAAGCACTGTGTAGTAACTACTCTTTCAATGAACTAACACTGGATGAACTTCATTTTATATACTACAAAATGACATTCATTTGTTCTAAATGTTTTCCAATCTCCAACTTAGTGAATTCTATAGTAAACTGAACCCTTCAAATTAATTGCCCTTACAAATCTGCTTGAAAAATAAGTGGGCATTTACAGTTTAAGTAAGCTGCATCTGTGTGAATAAAGCCAGGACATATTTGTATGCATAGAGAGAGTGCTCAGTTTATTTAAGTCAGAAAAAGATGGGGTTTGCTGTGGTCTAGTTTAAAGCCAGGAGCCCTGGCGGTACAACAGTTAATGCTCCATTGTTAACAGAAAGATTAGCAGTTTGAACCTACCCAGCTATTCTGTCGCAGAAGGACCTGGCGATCTGATCTGCTTCAGTCTAACACCCTATGGGGCGGTTCTATTCTGTCACACAGGCTTGCTATGAGTCGAAAATCAACTCGATGTATAAATATCAGTCTGTTTTCTAAGGGAGAGTCTTGCACAGTCAAAGCTGTGTGGGCTTGCCTTATTTAAGGAAGAGTAGTCAGGAAGCAGGGGACCTTGACAAGGAGAAAAGAGATTCTGAGGACAGTCAGGAGTGAAATAGAAGGGCTAGGGTTCAAATACTGTTCAATAATTGGTATATATTTAGTTACGAAGCATACTAGAAAGAGTTGCTAGTGGAGTAAGTTGAAATATAATTGCTTATGGAGGAAGTTGAAATCTAATGATTGTTTTAATATGTGCTAATAAACTTATCCATGTGAAAATTCATTTTGATTCTCTTGGGTTCTTCTCAGAATGTGCCAGATTGAGCTGGTAAGATGTGGGATCAGTGGGACTGATTTCTGATTCTCTGATACCATTTCCCACGGACTTGAATATAGTTTAAGAAAATGTGGTATGAATGTTTTACCAATCCACTGTCTACAGAAAATATCTCAGTAGGTACTCTGGGAGGTCATTAGACACCAAGTGCTGAGTGAGCAGGCACTGCCTTTAATTGTAGTTAACAACAACTACAACAATAAAACACTTCTATGCCAGGCACTGTGTAAGTGCTTTATCTGCATTCTTTATCAGAATCTTTCAACGAGGTGAACACTAATATGCACCAGGCCAGAGGCCAGGGCAAGGTGGCCTGATTTCCTACTAATCTGATGGTTGATAGAATTTCCTGAACAAATGCCATTAAATTTTGTTTTCACTATATCTTGTTTTTATTACAGAGACATGGCCAGAAGGTAGTTTAACTTGTTAATTTAGAAAACAAGTTCTAAAGGTAAAAAGCATATTAAATCTCTCTTTCACACACACACGTGCACGCGCACACACACATGAACCACAATAATTCCATGAGCCATTTCCTTCTGATGACTAGACCCCTTGATAGAAAATAAATGTGCCTAATGTGTATATGTAGGCCTTGAAATCTTCTGGCTCCAGTTTGCAGCCAGGATTTTGGCTTCCTGAAGAAGAGGTAAAAAGTGGGGGAGGTAGGAAGGCAGGGTGAGGCCTTTATTAATTCTGATCATTTGGGATCACTGAGGCAAAGATTCTATTCCCATTGGATTCTAGAAATGTATACTTCCTAGCAAATAGTATACAAAACATATATGGTAACAATTGAGGAAAATATGTTTTACTCTAACACCTGAAAGCTATGGACTGTGTGTGTCTTGAGAAATGTATGAGATTTTATTCAATTTCTCATATGTACTACAAAGGTTATTTTTGTTTGTTAAAAAAATTGCAAAATTCTACCTTCAAAACTGAAATAAAGTTTCCATTCCCATTCAAGTTGTGGGTACAACTGTATTAAGTGACCAAAATATATTTTCTGCCTTTAAATTAGGACTATATAGAAAATAATTATGTTCTTATTAAATGATTCCTAAAGATTACTTTTCACTTTGTGTTTTGAGCTCTTAAACAGAAAGGAAATAATAAGGGAACGGCAGGATATTAAGCACTCACTTAACCATATACATACTTAAACATAGGAATTGGGTTTCTTTTTTTATGAATCATTCAGTTAGAGTTATGGGCTATCTCTGGACTCAGTCTGCACCCTATTCTTCACCAAGATGTTACACAGCTCTTTGAAAGGGGTGTTTGAGGAGTTCAGGTCAAAGGAAGAGACTATGGGTCTTAATGGGCTACAAGCAGAAACATGAATCCGAGAAAACAACCCTACAAAAAGAGCTTTACTTTTCATCTTGTTAAGAAGACAATTTGAAAAGTCCCAAACAAGGGTTCTTCACATAGTTATTTTAAAAAAAACAAACAAAAAACTAGGCCTTAACTTTAATAGCCTTCTGAGCAGGTCTTTTGCTTTAACTGAGACACAGTTTTTAATATTCAGCTTAATATTTTCAGTTAAGATTGGTGAGATTCCACTAGCACTGAGCACACCTAGTGTTCAGACCTTGGTTTCTAGTATCATTCTTCCAGGAATCAGGGCTCTTTGGAGAAATGGTTGATTCTAACACTAGGACAAGAAATATACTAGATGAGCCTGGAGCATTTTGTAGTACTAAAAAGTTAGTAAAAAAAAAAAAAAAAAAAAAAAAAAAAAAAAAAAAATCCTCACAATGATGGGATATGACAAAGGGATTTAGGAGCCAACTGAAAGAGCTCCCAGTGACTACCCATGAGCAACAAAGTATAGTAGTATTGGATTGTAAACCAAAGTATAAGTAAATATTCATGAGCCCATAGTGATATGAGTAAATGAGTGAATAAATAAATAAATGGAGAACAGACGAATCTCCCATGCAGAAGAATTCCAAATAATTTATGTAGATATTCCGCCTCAAGGAGGTGGAGCATAACTCCAGACTCCTTAAGAGTGGCTGCCCATAGTGACTTTCTTCCAAAGAGTACACTATAGAAAGTGGGAAACAAAAGGATAATTTTATAGTGGAGAAACCTATCAAGCACTACCTCAATCAGATGATCAAGGTCAACATCAACAGTGATATGTTTGATAGTATGTAACCTTGATATGATGTGACAAAAATCGCACTTGACCTCTGTGGTGTTCCTCCCCACAACATTACTCCAATCTAATCATGAGAAATACATCAGACAAATCTCAGTTGAAGGATATTCTACAAATACCTGACCAGTAATTCTAAAAACTGCCAAAGTCATCAAAACCAAGGAAAGTCTGAGAAACTATCACAACCAAGAGAAATCTAAGGATTCCTTAGATTAAATATTATATTAAATGTTATATAGTATTCTAGATGGGGCCCTGGAACAGAAAAAAGAACATTAAGGAAAAACTGAGGAAATATGAATAAAGTGTAGATTTAAATTAGTAATAATATACTAATATTGGTTCATTAATTGGGACAAATGAACGATGCTAATATGTCAACAGGGGAAATGGTGTGGGGTATATGGGAATTTTCTGTACCCTCTTCCCAATAATTCTATAAATCTAAAACTGTTCTAAAGTAAAAAGCCCAGCAAAAGTGGCTTTACTTTTCATCTTGCTAAGAAGATAATTTGAAAAATCCAGAACAAGGATTCTTCACATAGTTGTTTTTAAAAACAAACAACAACATAAAACTAGGTCTTAACTTTAATAGCCTTTTAAGTAGGTCTTTTGCCTTAACTGAGAAAAAAAGATTGGCAGGAGATATAATTGGAGAAAATTAATAATACTGTTACCTTGGACCTTGTTATGCATTAAATTGTGTCCCCCAAAAATGAGTATCAACTTGGCTAGGCCATGATTCCCAGTATTGTGTGGTTGTCCACCATTTTGTGATCTGATGTGATTATCCTATGTGTTGTAAATCATAACTTCTAAGATGTTAATGAGGCAGGATTAGAGATAGTTATGTTAATGAGGCAGGACTCAATCTACAGGATTAGGGTGTATCTCAAGTCAATCTCTTTTGAAATATAAAAGAGAACGAAGCAGAGAAGAGAGGGACCTCATCACCACCAAACGAGAAGAGCCAGGAGCAGAGTGTGTCCTTTGGACCCCAGGTCCCTGCGCTGAGAAGTTCCTAGACCAGGGGAAGATTGATGACAAGGACCTTCCCCTAGAACCGACAGAGAGAGAAACCCTTCCCCTGGAGCTGGTGCCCTGAATTTGGACTTCTAGCCTCCTAGACTGAGAGAATAAATTTCTGTTTGTTAAAGCCACCCACTTACGGTATTTCTGTTAGAGCAGCACTAGATAACTAAGACAGACCTGCACTAGCCTCCCCTCCCAATTGTTAAAAAAAAAAAAAAAAAAAAAGCTTTCATGAAAAGTCTCATTAGTCCTCGTATTTATCTAAGACATAGAGAATAACAATATTTTTTTCTTGATTATAATATGGAAAGAAAATATAAGTTGTACACTTACTGTACCATAGCATTAGGTGGTTTGGGAATCCTAGAATAAAAGAGGAAGCAAATTATAATTTATATTAAGGATTGTTTAAAGTTTATATTCCTATTTATTTACTTAAAAATACTTATAAATTTACTTAAAAACAAGGATGTATCCCATTTTCAAAGTTAGTATCATTAAGATAACATTCTTGGTTGACTTTCTGGAACACTGAATATTGACAAGAGAGAAAAATATGATGATTACATATCTAAGTTGTTTATCAATTTTTTTTTCCACTCCATTTATTCTAACTCAGTCCCATTCACTACACTTTTTTGCATTTCTTATTGGCAGTGAAGGTACAGGGGCTGACTACTTCTAACCACGACAAAGCTCCAGTTCTCACAGACATTCACTTTCATAACCAGGCAGTGGCTGGAGTGCTCTGAGGGAGCCTGGCATTGGGCATGTGATGCAATTACATGATCTAAAGTGACGTTAGTGTGAGCTGGCTGGAGAGAATACCCAAGTACTGCATGTGCTTTCTCCCTTTTCCCAAGCTGCTAAATTACCCGTGATAATAAACGTTGCCAGTCGACAGGCTGGAATAAAACTGTGCAAATCCCTGGAGGCATGCCTTTTATGAACCAGTTCATTCAAAGGTTGTGTTTACTAATTACTCTGAGACTTGCATGCCAAGAAATTATACTGCAGCCCTGGAACAAAGTCCATACTATACTACAGAGGAATAATCATCCACTTACATTTGAATTTAATGATTAATTTCAGCCTATGAAATAAGATTGAGATTTCAGACATGAAAGAAGAACAGAATGCTATCATTTTGATAGTAAAGATTAGTTAACATTAAATATACTGTTTAATTTTATTAAGTTTATTTTAAGTTCCTTCTAGGTAGAAGAAATTCACTAGAAAGTGGTATATAAACTATATAATTTTACTATCCTATAAAACACAGAATTCACATGAACCATTAAAGTTTTACATCTTTATTGGGCTCTGAGTTTGTGGGCTTGGAATTAAAAAAACCATGTCTTGTCTTCTAGCTATATTTCTGGTTTAGTTGGGGATTGGGGAGTTGATGAATATAGCAGTCCAAGAGATCTAGAGTTACTAGATTGGCTACTATATATAAAGCATTAAATTGGCATCTAAAATTGTTCTCAAGTGACAAATTTAGCTATGGTATTGACAATATGCCCAAACTTGAATTGATCCAAAATGAAAAAAAAAGTAAAAGACAACTTTCAAAAAAACTTCAAAATTTGAAAAGATGAAATGAAAATAACAGATGCTCAGAGATAGCACTTCTTTAATCTGAACCAGTCCATCAATTTACTGCCATGGTCTGTATCTGTTTTACAAAATTCACTAATTCCAAAGGTATGTGAAGCACTGATGGTGCAGTGGTTAAGAGCTCAGCTGCTAACCAAAAGGTCAGCAGTTTTAATCCACTAGTTGCTCCTGGGAAGCCCTATGTGGCAGTTCTACTCTTTCCTGTAGGGTCACTATGAGTCAGAATCCACTGGCTGGCATGGGTTTGGTTTATTTATTTATTTATTTTTTAAAGGCATGTGGACTAGCAATGACTTATTTCATGTCTTTTTGGCTCTCTCTAGTGGCTCAAATCTATATAACTTCTTACCTATTAACAGATTCCTAGCAATTCTAATAGTTAAAGGTAAGAAGTGCTATTTTCATTGTTACTTCAATATTGTCAGTGTTTTATCTTTATCTGAAAATTAAAAGTATGATTTTATTTTTAATAAATTATGACAAACTATTTCAATGGGTAAAAAATTAATATATTGGAAAATAACACCTCTATAAGCAAAGGATAAATTAATTCTGGTGGTGCAGTGGTTAAGAGCTTGGTTGCTAACCAAAAAAGGTCAGCAGTTCGAATCCATCAGCCACTCCTTGGAAACCCTGAGGGGCAATTCTACTCTGTCCTACAGGGTTGCTAGGAGTTGGAATCGACTTGATGGCAATGGGTTTGGTTTTGGTTTTATTCCTTATTAAAAAATGAAAAGACTTAGGGAGCAATTTTATTGAGAGTTATTTGTAGATGGTCATACAAACTGCTTGCATAAAATTCTGATTCAAAATTTTCTTGAGGGCCACTATGAAATCTTCAATGAACCTTTAAAAAAAGGTAATGGATTATTGTCTACTAGGGTAGAGTAAGTAGGTCAAAGGCAGGGAAATGGACTAAGATGACCTGTACAAATCCCTTCCAACATTACTCTTTCATATTTTATATTTTTTCTTAACTTATTTGAATACCACAAACTATCAGTGGGTTTTTTTGGTTGGTTTTATTTAGTTTGATCTTGGATTCTGATATTAATGATTTCTATTTAAAAAAGAACAATTTTGTTTCTCTAAAAGTCCTCATTTTAAGGCATTTTATTTATCACATAACTCATTTCCACATGAAAATGTTATCTGATCGCATATGGGGGGGAAAAACCCAAACTTACAAAGAATCATTTCCATAGATGTCACTTTTTTTGTTCTGCGTCAAATAATAGAATTGTTCAATAGGAAGCTTTCTGAAAGGAAAGGAAAGATTAAATTATACATTTTAAAAATTAACACAGTGTAGTAATGAGACAGTAAAAGACAAATAGGTTAATATAACTATGTATATATGGAAATTCAGTATGCAAAAAGGTAGCATTTTAAATCAATAGAAAAGGATGTACTTTACAATAAATAATGCAGGAAAAATCCACTATCCATCTGGAAAAAAAAAGTTAGTTCTCTATTTCACACTATTCACAAAGATAATTTCAGATGGATTAAAATTCTAAAGAGCTAAAAGGCAATGTATAAGAATACAGTGTTTTCTTGGTGGTTAAGAAGACATTTTATGTTTTTTAAAATTTTTTTTATTTTTTCCCATACAAAAATTTATACATACATTGTTATGTGACTCTAATTGCTCTCCCCATACTGTGACAGCACACTCCTCCTTTCCACCCCATTTCCCATGTCCATTCAACCAGCTCCTAACCCTCTCTGCCTTCCCATCTCACCTCTGGACAGAAGCTGCCTGTTTAGTCTCTTGTATCTACTTCAGCTAAGAGGCCCACTCCTCACGAGTATCAGTTTATGTCCCACAGTCCAGTAAGAAGACATTTTAAATAAGATTTTTCTTTTAAAAGTCAAAAGCCAAAAGGAAATTTGATAGCATCGCATTAAAAACAAAACAAAACAAAACAAAACAAAACTTTGTAAGAGAAAACCAAAACCAAACCCATTGCTGCCAGATCAATTCCAACTCATAGCAACCCTGTAGGACAGAACAGAACTGCCCCATAGGGTTTCCAAGGAGCAGCTAGTGGATTCAAACTGAGACCTTTTGGTTAGCAGCTGATCGCTTAACCAATATGCCACCATGGCTCCTTTATAAGACGAAGGACACCATAAACAAAGTTAAAATAAAACAAGATTGGAAGAAATATTTGCAATAGAGATAACAGATAAAGGATATATAGAACATACAGAGAACTAACACCACTAGTCCGTCAGTTTATCATACTGTGGTGGCTTGTGTGTTGCTGTGATGCTGGAAGCTATGCCTCTGGTATTTCAAATACCAACAAGGTCACCCACTGTGGACAGGTTTCAGTGGAGCTTCCAGACTAAGACAGACTAGGAAGAAGGACCTGTGGTCTACTTCTGAAAAAACTGGCCAGCAGAACATTGTCTGATATAATGACAGAAGATGAGCCCCTCAGGTTGGAAGGCACTCAAAATACGACTGGGAAGAGCTGCCTTCTCAAAGTAGAGCAGACCTTAATGAGTGGATGGAGTCAAGCTTTCGGGACCTTCATTTGCTGATGTGGCATAACTCAAAATGAGAAGAAACAGCTGCAAACATCTACTAGTAATCAGAACGTTGAATGTACGAAGTATGAATCTAGAAAAATTGGAAGTCCTCAAAAATGAAATGGACTAGGCATTAGTAAGCTGAAATGGACTGGTATTGGCCATTTTAAATCAGACAGTCATATGGTCTACTATGCCAGGAATGACAAATTGAAGAGGAATGGTGTCACATTCATTGTCAAAAAGGACATTTCAAGATCTATCCTGAAGTACGACACTGTCAAGTGATAGGTCATAGCCATATGACTACAAGGAAAACCAGGTAATATGATTATTATTCAAATTTATACAGCAAACATTAATGCCAAAGATGAGGAAATTGAATATTTTTACCAATTTCTGCAGTCTGAAGTTGATCAAACATGCAATCAGGATGCATTGATAATTACTGGTGATTGGATACTGTCATGGTTTGAATCATGTCCCCCCAAAAATGTGTGTATCAATTTGGCTGGGCCATGATTCCCAGAACTGTGTGGTTCGCCTCCATTTTGTGATTGTAATTTTATGTTAAAGAGGATTCGGGTGGGATTGTAACATCACCCCTACCCAGGTCACATCCCTGATCCAATGTAAACGGAGTTTCCCTAGGGTGTGGCCTGCACTACCTTTTACCTTACAAGAGATAAAAGGAAAGGGAAGCAAGCAGAGAATTGGGGACCTCATACCACCAAGAAAGAAGCACCGGGAGCAGAGTGCGTCCTCTGGACCCGAGGTTCCTATGCAGAGAAGCTCCTAGTCCAGGGGAAGACTGATGATGACTAGGACCTTCCTCCAGAACCGACAGAGAGAGAAAGCCTTCCCCTGGAGCCGTCGCCCTGAATTTGGACTTCTAGCCTGCTAGACTGTGAGAAAATAAATTTCTCCTTATTAAAATCATCCACTCGTGGTATTTCTGTTAGAGCAGCACTAGATGACTAAGACAGATGCTAAAGTTGGGAACAAAGAGGAAGGGTCAATAGTTAGAAAATATGCCCTTGGTCATAGAAATGATACTGGAGATCACGTAACAGAATTTTGGAAGACCAACAACTTATTCATTGTAAAAATCTTTTTTCAATAACATACACAGATACTATACACATGGACTTCTTCAAATGGAATACACAGGAATCAAATCGATTAAATCTGTGGAAAGAGATGATGGAAAAGTTCAATATCATCTGTCAGAACAAGGCCAGGGGCTGACTGTGGAACAGATCATCAGTTGCTCATATACAAATTCAAGCTGAAGCTGAAGAAAAGTAAAACAAGTCCATAAGAAACAAAATATGACCTCGGGCATATCCCACCTGAATTTGGAGACCATCTCAAGAACAGATTTGACGCACTGAACATTAATGACTGAAAACCAGACAAGTTCTAGGATGACATCAAGGACATCATTCATGAAGAAAGCAAAAGGACATTAAAAAGACATGAAAGAAAGAAAAGACCAAAATGGATGTCAGAAGAGACTCTGAAATTTGCTCTTCAATGTAGAGTAGCTAACGCGAATAGAAGAAATGATGAAGTAGTAAAAGAACTGAATAGAAGATTTCAAAGGGCAGCTCAAGAAGACAAAGTAAAGTATTATAATAAAATGTGCAAAGGGACGAACATGCTTGACATTTCACAAGCTGGAAGAACTGAAGAAAAAAATTCAAGCCTTGAGTTGCAATATTGAAGGATTCTATAGACAAAATATTGAACGATGCAGGAAGCATCAAAAGAAGATGGAAGGGATATACGGTCACTGTACCAAAAAGAATTGGCCCATTTCAGGAGGTAGCATATGATCAAGAACCGATGGTACTGAAGGAAGAAGTCCAAGCTGCACTGAAGGCATTGGCTAAAAACAAGGCCCCAGGAATTGACGGAATACCAACTGAGATCTTTCAACAAACAGATGCAGCACTGGAGATGCTCACTTGTCTATGCCAAGAAATTTGGAAGATAGCTACCTTGCCAACTGACAGGAAGAGATCCATACTTGTGCTCATTCCAAAGAAAGCTGATCCAGTAGAATGTGGAAACTGTCACACAATATTATTAATATCACACATAAGTAAAATTTTGCTGAAGATCATTCAAAAGCGGTTGCAGCAGTATATCGGCAGGGAGCTGCCAGAAGTTAAGGCTGGATTCAGAAGAGGATGTGGAATGTGGGATATCCTTGCTGATGTCAGATGGATCCTGACTGAAAGCAGAGAATACCAGAAAGATGTTTACCTGTGTTTTATTGACTATGCAAAGACATTTGACTATGTGGATCATAACAAATTATGCATAACATAGTGAAGAATGGGAATTTTGGAACACTTAATTGTGCTCATGAGGAACCTGTACATAGACCAAGAGGCAGTCATTTGAACAGAACAAGGCGACACTGTGTGATTTAAAATCAACAAAGGTGTAGCATCAGGGTGGTATCCTTTCACCATACTTATTCAATCTGTATGCTGAGCATATAATCCGAGAAGCTGGACTATACGAAGAAGAATGTGGCATCTGGATTGGAGGAAGACTCATTAACAACCTTTGATATGCAGATGACACAACCTTCCTTGCTCAAAATGAAGAGGACCTGAAGCACTTACAGCCTTCACTATGGATTACACCTCAACCTAAAGAAAACAAAAATTCTCACAACTGGACCAATAAATAACATCATGATAAACAAAGAAAATATTGAAGTTGTCAAGGATTTCATTTTACTTGGGTCCACAATCAACACCCATGGAAGCAGCAGTCAAGAAATCAAACAACATATTGCATTGGGCAAATGTGCTGCAAAAGACCTCTTTAAAGTGTTGAAAAGCAAAGATGTCACTTTAAGGACTAAGGTGTGCCTGATCCAAGCCATGGTGTTTTCAACTGCCTTTTATGCATGAGAAAGCTGGACAATGTTTAAGGAAGACCAAAGAAGAACAGATGCCTTTGAATTATGGTGTTGTCGAAGAATATTGAATATACCGTGGACTGCCAAAAGAACAAACAAATCTGTCTTGGAAGAAGTACAGCCAGAGTGCTCCGTGGAAGAGAGGATAGTGAGACTTTGTCTCACATACTTGGGACATGTTATCAGCAGGGACCATTCCATGGAGGACATCATGCTTGGTAAAGTAGAGGGTCAGCAAAAAAGAGCAAGACCCTCGATGAGACAGACTGACACAGTGGCTTCAACAATGGGCTCAAACATAACAATGATTGTGTGGATGGTACAGGACTGGGCAGTGTTTCTTTCTGTTGTACATAGGGTCGCTATGAGTCGGAACCGACTCAATGGCACCTAACAACAACAACATAGAGAAGGAATAACATCTGTAAGAAAAAGACAAACAGTAAAAAAGCGGCAAAGAATAAGAACAGAAAAGGAAATATAAACGGCCTGTAAACGTAAGAAAAAAAGTTCAACCTAATTAAATCCAGAGAAATGCATTCTGATAAACAAACTATCCTTTTATACTCATTAGATCAGCAAAAATTATACACTTGGATAATATAATGCAGTTGGCTGAGTGTGGGGCAATACATACTTTTAGACTCTGACATAAGAATACAAAGCATTTGGGCAACTACTAAAGTTAAAAATACTCATATGTTGTGACCCAGCAAGTTCAAGGAGGCTTGTACAGGTTGTTCATTACAGTATAATTAATGCAACAACAAGAACAAA